CAGTGTTTTCAAATTTGCCCCTCGCTTCCATGTGCTTAGGGAAAGCAGGAAGGGGGAAGGGAGGAGGCTGCAGGGGAGAACAAGTTGAAATGGGGGGAGCAGAAAGCAAAAAGGCTACTTGACACACACACACCCCCCGCCACTCCAGATTTATTTTTCCTGCTGTAGCAGTGGGAGGGGGACACATTCAATGCAAATTCAAGGCAAAATTAGAATCCTGATTCTATACCTGGAAAATTATAAAAATTTCTAAATTTTCCATATATAGAATTTAAATATTAGGAAGCCATCTTATGTTCAAGCTCATCTTATATGCAAGAAAATACAGTATATATGTGTATGGAAGCCATCCACCTTTACATCTGAGCCCCTCCAAATTAAACCTGAAAGTATAGTAAAGTAGGAAAGTATTATCTACATTTTAGGAGATCGAAAGATTGACTGATTTGCCCAAAATCACACAGGTAACCTGCAGCAAGGTATGGGATTCCCATTCCTTGAGTCCTTGTCAAGTTCCTTAATCACACGGTCATACTTCCTTCTTCTCCTCAAGCATGCATTCCTCAGCATTACAAGGGGAATCACCATCTATGATGACACAGGTTATGAAGAAACTTCACTGAAAACTGTACAAAATATTGAAACCCTGGCCAAATTTAGGTCTGGTTTAAAAGCAGGTTCAGGTCTACTAAAGATGACAGAATCAGTCATATTTACACTAGATCTGGATTTGACTGATATCACTTATAGATAAGCCTACAACAGAAAAGATTTTCAACACACATGCATTAAAATTACATCATTTTCTCTTTTAATCTGTAAGGTTTTATCTTTCTTGAGTTTCACTTCGTGAGGTTCTTTAGCTGTACTTTGTAGGGAACATGAATCTACAAAACTACTAACTGACTAACTCCCCCTCAGCCTTGACTCAACACAGCATATTGTTGAGTGAAAAATGATTTAAACAATCATTAAGATTTACTACAATTATTTAATATATAAAAAATTATAAATCATCTGCCACATGTTTTAGTATAAAAGTCAGATCTTAGCTCTGTATTTCTATCTTACAGCAGATGCTACAAAATGCCTGAGTGTTCTACCCTTGAAGCACCTAGGTATGTGCTTAACCTCTAAATGTTTATGTAGTCCCATTAACCTTAGTAAGGATACACACATTCAAAAAGCTAAATACAGGCATAGGTCTTAGCAAATGAAAACCTTAATAGTATCCCTTTAATATTTAATGCAGTTTAATGTCCCTCTATATCTTCCATTCGTCCTAATAACTTAAAATCCCCTGACCACTACTTTCATTTCAAGGGCACTATTGTTGGAGAGATCAGTTGACCTGATTTTCTCTGAAAACCACAGAAAATGCTATACACCCTCTGCAAAACCACATTAACACCGCCAAAACCTGGCGAAGACATTTGATAAACATATTCTGCTTGTCAAACCACCCTTCAAATCTCCAAAAAAATCTCTTATTTTCAAGAAAATACACACAATCTTGTACTAAAATAAAAATCCAAATTATATCTGGTTATTTCAGTAATTAAATTGAATTATAATCCTTAATTATTTATCCTCATTGAACTCTATGATTTACTGTTAAAGTATAGTAGATCAGGGAAATCTGATTCTTCTTTAGGGTCACATAAACTAGCTAATGCAACATGAATAAATGATCTGACATTTCTCATTTACTACTTTTTTCTTATTGTCCAGTGCAGCTGATGAAAATTTTTCAAGCAAAGAATAAAAATAACTTTTCTCTAAATTTATTTCAAACATTGTCAATATCAATGTTTTTAAAAAAGAATCTCAATACCTGTAATCAATACTGTATTAAAATCATTAACTACATTTTTGAAAACCATGTCTATAATATTTTAAGTGCATATGTGAAATGCATTTAAATATAAACTAAAAATGAAAGATTAGATTTTAAAATGTGGATATTTGAGAAAAGGAAACATGGAGCTATCCTGAACACCTCATTTTAAAACAAAATGGATTAAATTATTATATCTATCCATCGTTACTAAAATATTTGTCTAGAAAAATGCTTCTTGCAAATATTCTGCAATGTTTGCTTTAAATTAATTGATTTTGGAAGATTTCCTCCAGTAAACTCATTTGCCAGAATATTCACCAAAAATTATCACAAAGTGCCAGATCCCATGTAACTTTCATGTGACTAACTGGCAGGTAAGTAGTTTCCTAAATCCACTTTTGAGCACTTGGACAAGTTTGGGATTCAGCATTGCCCATAATATCCTACTGAGGTAGTCCCTAGAGATCAGGTTTGATATGCATTGCTGGAGTAATGTTAGCAATTTTTTCACTGATGCTTTGCTTTTTATATCTGTTCTGCATATAAACAGAAGCCTATCACAAGGATTAAATTCACTTAAAGACAGATGGAGACATACTATAGATCATTTTTCTGCAATTTTGGGATCTTTGTATAAATAATATATACAGAAATAAATTTCATGTATGATGACGATAATGATACAAAATACACCTGAAGATTCCCACTTTCAAATAAATTCATATGTAAAACTGTAGTGCATGAAAATGTAGTCCACTGTGTGAGTGCATCTACACTAATTAGCTGCACCGTAAACATCTCAGCATCTACATGTGTGCCCCTATTAGGCTGCAGTAAACTAATTTACTCTGCAGCGGGATAGTACTTGTAAATACAAGTGCTATCCCACTGCAGAATTAAAAACTCCACAGCAGTGCACATGTAGATGCTGCCCTGGCTGGCTGGGGCACGAGAGTGCTTCAGTGCAGGGGCTGCCTGCTAGCTAGCCCTGCACTGAAACACCCTCATGCTCCAGCCACCCCTCCACAAGATGCTGAGCCAGGGGGAGCAGCTCTGGCCTGACAGGATGACTCCCCAGGCCCCTTGCCAGCTGGAGCTGCTCTGACCCATCTCAATGTGCTGTACTCCCGGATGCATGTTCAAATGGCATGTCCAGAAGCCACCTCTCAGCCCCTGCTACAAGCAGGAGCCTGGGTGCAACCGGAGCCACTCCTTCAGTTACTCGGGAGTCACGCTGGAATGCCACCATCACCGGTGAAATCATCCCTGCATACCTGGGGGTGGTGGACATCCCCACCACCAGGGACAAGCAGGCTCCTGGGTACAGACAGATCCCCACCCAACTCAGCCTAGGGTCATACTGAGTCTCCACTGCCATCAGTCAGCATGACTGGGAGTAAACCCGTAAGTGATGGTGAGTCCCAGCTTCTGAGGATCCACAGCTACAGTTTCCCCACATGGCCAGGGAGATGGATGCGATTGGCCCCCTAGAGGTCCAATGGACTCAAATGTGGGAGTGCTCCAGCCCATACACCCAGAGAGGGGAAAGCACTGGCTCCAAGGAAGTGATCAGTACCTGTTTGTGGTGAGGCACAGAGGAGACTGGGAGCCATACAGACCTGGTCTGAGCCCAGGACAAATCTCAGGATTTGAATACACTGAATAGCCAGCAGAAGAAGGCCAACCAAGCAACCCAATGGCGTCCAGCTTGAGACATGGGGTAAGCCTCTGCAAGCAGGCAGTGCCTGCTAGGGTTGCTTTGAGAGACCTAAGTATTGAACCAATGGGCTGGTGATAGGAGTTGCCAGTCAGAAAGATACCACCTGGGAGGTCACAAGCGTGCTACGGCCAAGGGCGAGATGGACAAATTGATAGGTCTCACGAAGGAAACTGAATGGATTGAGAAAGTATCCCTAAGTTGAGGGGATCTAGGGGTGAAGTAATTGATGAGGCCCCTTGTGATAAGCATCCCTAAATAAAGAGGGCCCTGTTCTGGATTTGATTGAGGGCCTACATCAACAACAACAGAGCGTAGCCAGAATGAATGTGCCCTGAAGACCTCAGGGCAGGGGAAAGCCCAAGGCATATTTGAGTGACTGGCTAAGACACCATTCAAGTGACTTGGATATTGTTGAAAGGTCGGAGGTCCACCCGGCAGGTCTGGTAAGGGCAAGGTGTAGGGGAGGCAAAGCCCTGTGAAGAGGATGTAATCCTTTTGCCTAGATGCCATTTCCTTTTGTTTCATCATACAGCTTCCCTTCATTTATTTCCATCAAGGGGTGGCAGGCACGTATAAGCAAGCGGGCAGTGGCTTCTGGAAACAGGAACAAGACACATCACACCCACTGACAGGGAACAATAAACTCCAGAGTTTATTGTTTCACATTAATTGCACATGCAGATATGCCCGTTCCTGGAAAAATGGGCATTGTATTCTTCATTGCTAACTAGCTGTAGTCACACACCTAACCTGTACTATTACTTGTAAAGGCCCTTACCTGCTTGTTAAATTTTCCAGTAATAAAAGCACAAACCATTGCATGTACAATATCCAATTAAGATGCATGATGATTAGTTTAGCTTTTGATTTGCAGTACAATGTACTTTCAGCAACAATTAGTTATAAGACAAATATCTCCATCTTTTTAGAGTGTTATATAATTCTTATTAAACCATTCCTTCCTCCTGCCCTAATGAACAATACCACAATTAAGAGTGCTCCAATTCTACTTCTCCATTTTAGTCATAACTTTCTAAAAGTTATTTGGAGGTAAAAGAGTATATGTAGCAAGAAATCAAATCTAATCATTTCATTTTTGTTTTTAAGAGCTCCAGTTATGGAAAGCTTTGCATAAAAAAACAAAGCTGAATGATGACATTTTTCTCCTTTATCAAAAAGAGTATTAGTCTCCTTTATCAAAAATTTTGCTTAAATTTTGAGTGACTATTTCTCCCTGAAATTCATTAGGGCCCAACCTAGCACCCTATGTAACCATTTACATTTATATAAAATGAGTGCAAAATGATTCCACAAGTGTAGATTTTTTTTTCTGCATTCAGTACAGAGGAAAGTAACTACACAAGATACAAGATAATGAATTGGGTCTGATTTTTATGCAATAGCAAAGACCTAACATCATCCCCTGGTCTAGGTACCCACCTAAGTTTGTATGAGTAAATCCCAGAGTCACTGAGCTCAGCTGGCCAAAACTCCAGAATACTTCCATTTGATACAATTCTGGATGTTTCCTGTATCAGAGTGACATTTTCTTCATTTTTTTTGTACCAGTTTCCCATGTAGCTTTCATTTTGAAAAGTAACTTGTTCTGATCCAGGGGAGCAAAGGAAAAAATATTCCCCCTCGATTACATCAATGGAGCGACGAAAGGGACACAGGTCTCCTTCACCAAAAAAAGAAGGTAGAAAGAAAAGAAAGTAAAACAGATAGGAAGCCAAAACTTATTTCAGATAATGATACTAGAGAGCCTGTTTCTTATAATACAGTACTTTACATGTCTGATGTGCTGCACTCTGCTCACTGGTATTTTTTTTTAAATTAACTTTCTTTTAGCAAACCCAATAGCTTGTCTAACAGGGGACAGCATGGCCCTGTCTGGAATCGATTCCAGATGTCCAGTCCTTATTTTCTCCTTACACTTGACTTCATTTTGTTCAAACTCTTACTGGCTAATGGAAATGGGAATTTTCCTAAGAAATTTCCTGTAAGGGCTCAATTCTGTATTACTCAGGTAGGATAGATCTTTGGTGTGCTTTTTTTTAGCCTTATTTGGTTTTAATGAAGTCACTTTACAGAGTAAGGATAAAATTCAAAGCCCACTGAAGTCGATGGAAATTGACTGTAATTGCTTTGGATCAGGCCCAAAGGTACTATTCCAAGCAAGTAAGGGTAGCAGAATCTGGCCTTGATCTTTGATAGAGGAAACTCCCCTGGCCACAAGTGGCTGCTTGAAGAATAAGCGCTTCTCAACACTGCCATGTTGGATAACAGTTCAGTCATCAGAAAAACTGGGCTTCTATAATCAACATGTTTGCTAGACCCTGTTTCCTGGTCTCCTATATAACTGAAAACAATTAAATAGCTGGATTTCTTGAAGACTCAGACATTCAGAATTTTCTGTATGGTCAAAATCATATCAGCAAAGTTTAATATCAAAACCCATTTTTATTATTAATTTCTCTAAACATACTATTGTATGTGGTGAAAATGCAATGTAGCAGAGAAACCAAGTACTGCTCCTATACAAAAAGGCTTGCAGTCCAAGTGGTCGCATCTACACGAGACACTACTGCACAGTAATTACTGAGCATTTATTTAGAACTTGTAAAAATAAGTACTAAATAAATGCGCAGTAACCTGAGTTACTACACAGTAGCAACAGTGAATGCCTTTTAGTAATACTACTGCACGGTAGCCTAATACTACTGTGCAATAGCAGTGCACTACACAACACTACTGTGTAGTAGTATCGGGCTACTTCACAGTCAGCATCTTGTGTAGATGCAGCCAGTGTCTGTTATATTTTTAAAGAGGAATTACGTAAAACCAATGCAGTGATATTCTACCAGCATCACCACAGTTGATGGTACAAACTGGTACAATGACAAAATGGCATTAGCTAGAGAGGCAACAGAGGTGGACAGTTAACTCCCTTCTCTTGCTCTACCTATATATCTATGCTTCGAGATCATATCATCATCATAATCTCTGTACATCTTCTTTTCTTTCTTTCCACAGATTTGTTATTCAGAGATTGGTCCAAATTGCCACACTTGTTCAGATTAGGTTACTTTACCCAGAAGTTTCTGGTTCAGGGTTAAATGTTGTCCCAATGCAAGCATCACCTACATAACCAGCCCCAGCTGTACTTCATCCCGAACACATACTATAGATTCTTGGCCTTCAGTCCACAGAAGCAGAAACTTCTTACACTTTGGCACATCAAATATATAGCAAACTATGCCATGTTATAAGGTAAAAATTATCCCATTATGCTTACCAGTAGCAGCTCCATCAAGAAATAGTAAGCACAAAATCAGCAGATTTCCAAGAGTCATTTTCTTGAGTTACTTGTCACGTCTCTGGAAAAAAAGGGAAGTGAGACGCTCTTAGTGTAACTGAAAGCATGGGAAGAACATGTATGCACAATCCATCACACACACAACAAACTGAACTTGATCAATGCCTATGAGCAATATTACAAATGCCTGAAATTAGAGATGGGACTTCCAAAAGGAAAGTTACTCATTTTTTTATCATAAGAGAGAAATTGCATACATGAGGTCACAACCATGAAGTTCTGTTGGCAGGATTCATTTCAAATAAAGAAAACAATGACTGTTTTCCCTTTCTTCCTTTTATAGTTCATGTGAAATTTACAACTATACTATTTCCTTTCTAAAAGGTTCAGTGGATAGCTGCAGGACTCAGTCTTGCAAATCCCTAACATTGAGCAGGAGGGCTTTTTGCAGGACCATGATGTTTGTAAATCTGTACCTTGAACCATGAAAATTATCCTACTAAAATGCTAGGTGTTACATACATTTCATCTGAATCTGATTTTTATGCATTTGATTTCTTTTTTTTTAGCAAGTTGATTACTTAATACTACCAGGAAGATATAAGGTATACGGCTATATGGAAATCATTGTTATGTTAAGGCTATTACACATCATAAATGAGGATTACGATGAAGAGGATGAGGAGGCAGATGAAGAAGACGATCCAGATTATGACCCAAAGAAGGATCCAAACTTAGTAGAATGCAAGCATTAGTGATGCTGCGTGTATGTAGACTTGAAGCTTATCTGTACTATAATAGCCGAAACACAACTATTAGTTAACCATGAAAGTTAATGGGAGTCACCTCAATTTCAATAAGAACTAAGGCTGTCCTTACTTTTGATGCCTTTGCAGTTACACTTTAAAACAAAAATCTGTTGGCAAGGAATGAACACTAGTGGTCTACAGTATTCTTCATATAAGGTTTCATATCACAAATCAGATAGCCATGACAATTACTGTAGGGCTGGGTTCACTGCTTTGTACCCTGTATAGCCAATTATAACCATAAAGACAAAATGTCATATATTACTAAACAAGTGTGGAGGATATTCACTGAATCTTTCCATGGCAGTAGGTACTATCATCTAAGATGAAGATCTGTCTTAATACTAATGCATATTTTCACATTTTTACACAGTCCCTCTCTAACACTTGCAAATATATGTCTGCATATGAAATAAATGTGATCCATATACAATTAATATGGTCCATGCTTTTCCCACAGCTCTCCAGTCAATTTTAACTAGGTTTTGTCCCAATTTACTAGCTCAGCTTTTTGCAGTTTTAGCATTTAATTTGCTACCACTGTAACACTCCACAAAGATTTACAAAATTTAAAAAAAGAAACGAAAAAAAGGAATGAATAAACCTTAGGGCTGAGCTTTGAAAGTCTTGTTCCCATTATAGTGGAATCCACAGCCTTGATTGAGTAATCTTGGCTCCCTATGGCATGCATGGGGAGAGTTCGGTGTTCAGACTGGGACTCACAAAAGCCAGCACATAAGAGTGGGGCCTCATGTATGCTAGCCAAATGAGAAATGTTGAAGACCAGGTGTGTATTAAATCCCACCCTCTTCAAGGCTTAACGGTCCATCTACTCAGACTTTAGAACCCAGAAGATAAAAATCTAGGCCCTTTCTCTTAAAAAAAAAAAAACCCTAAACCTTTCAGAGGTTTTTCCTCCCCCTCCCGGCTTGAGCGGAGAGGGGGGGTGTGACCCTGGTCTGGCCTGGCCGGCTTGGCCAAGCCCCGCTCCACTCAAGCAGGAGGGAGCACGGACGGTCAGGAGGTGCACCAGCGCTCTCAGTGGGTGCACATACACCCCCGTGCATCCCCTACACGTCGCCACTGTCTCAGAGTAGGGACTGGAATCCGGAACCCTCCCTCCTCCAAGGACAGGAGTCCTAACCACCAGAGTACAAAACCATATTCCTTCCCTGACCTAGCGAATCATGAATTCTTTTCAACAGGAGTAGTGGAGAATGTCCCCTCACCCAACACAGCCTACAGGCTGGTAGTTAAGACACTTTCTTGGAAGGTAGGAAAAGTTGGGGTGAAAGAAGGAACTTAAGGAACAGAGAGGAAAGAGTTGAACTTTTTTTTCCCCCTATATGTTGGTTCCGTGATCCATCTGCTGCCATATTTTGTGTAAAGCTCAAATCAACAGGTGTGGAACACCTGAGAATGCCTACTAGCTTAAAATCTATGGAAAAGTCAGGGGAAACGATGGGCCTACTTCTAGATTCCAGCCCAGCTGAGGCATGAACAAGTGTCAAGCTGCTCAGCTGAACTGAAGTAATCTGGGCATACAGACAAGTAGAATTTTAGACACCCAGAAAACATTTTTTTAAATTAAAAAGGGAGATATACACAACATTTAAGTGCCTATAAAGTAAAAAGAACTTAGCAGTATTAAGGATCAAAAATTTGGCACATAAATTTTACCTAGGTCCTACCTTAGGAAAGATTAGATTCTGCTTCAGAAGGATGGAACAAGGATGTTTTCTTATGTAAAATATTCTAGTAATAATGAAACACTGTATTTCACCTTCCTACTACTCTGTGTTGCTAAGGCTACCCACAAGCCAACTTCACCTCCTCAGCATCTAGACTAGAGTGACTTCACAAGCTTGTGAGTTACAATTCATAGGGGACCTCTATTTTACTTTCCCAGAAATTCAGTGGAAACAATTTCTTTTGCTCCAGTGGGTCTCCGTCTCCTCCTGCTCTGAAGTCAACTATCCATTTTGAGGGCATTTCTCCAGTTTGGAACTTCACATAAATAGCCAAATTCACCTTTATTTCCAAGAAAAAACTCCAGGCATGCTCATTGAAACACCTGCTTTTCAGATGTGCTGGAAACACTTGTTCTTCCTTGAATAATTCACGTCAAGTTCACTATGGAAGATGGAAGATATTTGAAGTGGCCAACAATTCATTAAAAATCAAAGCTTATTTATAATTAGAAACAGCTGTATGTTTAAATGAAAGAAAAATTAGCTAAAAACGAGAATTCTGGATAGTCAAAATTTATTCATGAATTTGGCTTACTAAATAGCTTCAGCTGAAAACAATGGGAAGTGCAGTTATTTTGAGAATGTCAACCTTTGTTTTTTCAACATTT